GTCTGTACACACAACGTGTTGAGGTGAAAGCATGCTTTGCCTGACTGGTTAAGTTCCTGGGTGAAACTGCCGGGGAGTTAAGCAAAGGGCAGGAAGAGGCTGGCTTGGCGCCTTGGTTACTTGAAGTCTCTTCTGGAAAACTAACCTTATTTCTGGGTCGTTCTTAATGGGCTCCAGGAGGTGAATGATGTTGTCAGAATGTTTTTGTGCATCCCTGTTCAGAGAGCAAGCACTTCAGTGATGTTGCTGCAGCTACTAAAACTTCAGGGTGAACTGGGAGTGACACTGATGGGTTCTATATTCCTTCTTTAGTTATGCTGTGGTCTGGACAAGTTGATTAACTTCTTAGTATTTAACTGCCTCTTTCTTCAGGAAAGCAGAACTAAGCTGTCCGCATCTCAGGGATTGTTGTGCAGCTTACCGTGTTATCTGTCATGTGCTGCGAGGTGTTGCAGGTCAGTTTGACAAGCAATACATACACAGTTTGTAAGACATTGGGCCAAAAAGCTTAGTGGAAAGAGCCAAAGAGGATGGATTTGAACAATAAAGTTGAGCTGTGTAGAGGGATGGACAGTATTTCTCATTCTCTTTTATGAGGAAGGTATCCACCCAGAGGGAATGGAAGGGTTGATAGCCAGGGAAAATGGGGCATTGCAACAAACAAATGATAGACATTTCTGCTCAAGGCCTTTATTGGAGACAGGTTTCTGAATTACAGGATACAGTTTGTTGGAAGTAAACACTAACTGAAGTGAGTAAATAGTTGGTACTTTCATAAACAGTGAGTCAGAACATACATTTCTGTAACCAGTATTCCTCATAAATAAGCCGCGTATCTAAGGAAAAATGAAAAACAACATGCATGTTATCTTGGTGCGCTCAGGGAACTGAAGAACCAGGACAGTCTTAAAACACAACAGAGCGTTCCAAGAAGTGATTCATGCAGCGAAGATCTTCAGATGCCTCCCTACTGGCAGGAGACTGGCAGGTATTGACTGGCTAATGCCATGCTGCTCATTGTGTTTCTGTAGCAAAACCAGCAGTGCACTATGGAGAAAATACAGTTCGGAAACATAAAGTGTATTTCTGGCTTTGTGATTCAGCAATTGAGAGTGAAAGGCTGTTCTATAGGACATTTTCTGGTGATTTTTTGATACATCTATAATTGTAGTGAAGTGGTCTGTAAGAGGATACTCTGGGACGCGTGTGCTGACCCATCATGAAGCAATAGTGATATATCATCCTATGTGTGGGCACTCTTCCTCCCTTTAGGAGCAGGTAGCCCTACGAGTTCTGTAGGCTGAGCTGTTTTTGGAAATGTTTTAGTGCTGGATGCTTCTCTGCTAACATCTGACAACTCATGGGAATGGAAGTGAGGACTTTCTTTACTTGGAATTTGCATTCTACAGTGCTTACTTTAAATCAAACAGCTGTTCTCCAATAAATGTGTAACTGTCCATGGATAACCCAATATAAACAAATCTAGTTATGGAAATAAGCTTAAAAATTAAAGGATGAGATGGAAGGGAATGAAAACAAAGTTTCTATATGCAGCAACCCACGAAGTACAGGGAAGAGAGAAAAAGAGCAAGATGGGTGAATAAGGGATAAACCACCTGAAATTATTCCCAAGACATTGTGTGTTCTTTCTCTTCAGTTGCATACAATTGCTTTACCTTGATTTCTTAAATGGTCTTTGTTTATAGCAGAATGCCATCCCTGCTATACCGGCAGTTAAGTAGTGTTTCTGGTCATCAGTGGAAAACATCAAATACTCTAAAATCTACTGGCTTCCTACTACCTTTAGAATTGTATTGGTCGGGAGCAAATAACAACTGCCTTATACTTGTCCTATTCCACAGAAGAAAAAGCCTATCTATTTAATTTTACATTCCCTTAACATTTGTGCATGCAGTGATGCTTGGTAGTTTTACGTACAGGTTGCCAAGCACACCATTCAGTTTAAAACTCCTACCAAACTGTTGACATTCCTCTTGGGGAGAAGATGCTGTCATCTGCTACAAGCACAGGCTGAAAGATGCAGGACTTCTTTTCCTCTGGCACATGGAGAGCGAGCAGACATTGCTGGCCTTTCTGCTTTGTTGAGCTTCTCGGTTATGACTGCCACGGTGCTCTAGTGAATTCCTTTGCTCTTCGGTGCCAATGCAGCAAATGTGCAGCTGATAATTCCCACTGCCTTTCGTCAACTCCCAGGGAGCAAAGAAGAAGTTGCATGAGAATGCACCCAAACTCTTCAGTTATCCTTTTTCTGGCTGTCTTTTTTAAAATTTATTTCTTGGCAAATTTGTGTGTGTGTGTGTGTGTGTGTGTGTATGTGTAAGCCGGCAGGTGAAACTGTGCTAAACAGCACGTTTTCTATAGCCCAGCAGTTGCACAATCTCAGTGCAAACAGAACCAAAGCACTGCACTTAGATGCTTTTTTTCCAGTTAAGAACCTGCCTCAGAAACACTCATGTAGTGCTTGTCTTGGATACATATGTGTTCAAAGTATGAGGAGATACTAGAAGGAATGGCTACAGTGCAGCAGCCTTACATTAAAAATAGATGTTATGAAGGCACTCCAAATACAGATGATTCAGAGGAAGGCATGTGGAAGATACGTCTGACCATCTCAACAGGGCTATTGTGGTAGATGTCCCTTTCTTGTGCTGCCTGGATCTGCTTCAACCATTTGACATAGGCTGATAAATTACAAGTTTTAGAAGTTTTTGTCAACAGGAGATTTGTTTAAAAGTTTCAGTATGCTCTTTTAATTATTGAAGTCATTAGTGCATGGTTTGTGTAGAGGAACTGAATGCCTGAACTTAATTTCTGAGCCTTGTGCCTACCAGAAGACATTAGTAACTGCTCGAGTGTTGGGGAGGAACTTTTCTATTGGTTTTTAAAATACCTGTGAAACACCTCATAAAATTATGAGAAGGTAATTAGGTTGTAAGACCAGCACCAGAAAGTTAGTGAATGTCTGGGTTAAATTTTCCAGACTGGCCCCAGTTTGATTTCATTGTTGGAATTCTTGTTGTAAGTAGTTGGACTTTGTAGCTGTGGTTGAATTGTATGCAGTGCTCGTCAAGCCAGAGGTGTATGTGAATGTGTCCTTCATTTTCTCAGTCCCTAACCTGAGGCTCCAAATCCTGGTTTGCAGCAGTGGTGAATCTCCACTGTTGGTTTAAATGAGAGCTCTGCTTTGGGCATACGAAGTGCAATACAATTTAGAGTACTGAACCGTCCTCGAATTTGAAACATGTGAGATTGGGCAATCAAAATAAGTGATTTTTTTTTTTTTTTTAGTCTTAAACTTTGAAAATACATTAAGATTTGTAAAGTATTTATATATTATACAGATGGGCATTTTGGAAAATCTCATGAAGTAATTAAATCTGTCCTCAGTGTTTCTCCATCATTCAAACCGTGAGCGGTAGACTAAATCCTGGGTCCATGTGTTGAGCAATGGGAGAAAAGCAGAAAGCAATTAATCAGAATAGCAGTTGATTAACTGTGTGTTGTTCATTGCTTGCACTGAATAATGTAGAGAGCCTGTAGAAATTGTGCCTCTAAAGACAACAATGTTGATGTTGATTAAATGTTGCACAGGCGGCATCAATTTTGTCACTTCCTAGGTTTTGAAGGCTTCTCTTGCAATTATTTCAAGCAGTGTGTATGCATGCAGCAAAAATAGCAAGTTAAGGTAGCAGGTGCGTATCTGCCAATACAAGTGACTGAAGAGCCCGTTTCCTCTGAAAAAACCTGAAATGTGTGCTTTATGTGTATTTGTATGTATTTTGTTTTGTTAGATAGGAAAAGATTTTAACAGACTTCTACAGAAGACCATACAAAAGATAAATGTTGGTAACAGTATCAGTAGAAACACTGTTTAGTAGGTACATCACTGTCAAGGAGAAAGAACAGTGTTTATACTTAATGACTGTAAGAGCATTTTTGTTAATCTCCATTCATCTTTTCATTTTTTCCTTTAATTTTACTTCACTAGCAAAACATTCACCAGTATAAATTGGACTACTAAGTTCTAGTAATTAGCTTTCCAATGGGAAAGTGTAATTTCTTTGGAAGATTAGTGAGCTTGATTATGGTTCAGAAAATACTACTTTTAAGTAGTTATGTGGGCTGTGCTATAAAATGTATTTGATTTTTTCCTTCCTATTTGTGGTTGTCTCGGCTTGTACTCTTTGTATAGGCTACTTTACTAAAAGCATTAATTTAATAGATTGTTGGACAAACTGAAGTCAATCATTATGTGCCTATAGCAGAAATCAGTTGGCTTTACACATTAGTTCAACTTTAGAATGTGAAAGTCTTTGCCAGCTACCTTTCTCTTTATTTTTCTTATCTTTTTATTGCTTCTAATGTGTTTAATATGTATAATCCCTTGTATCTGAGTGCCCTGAGTAGTCACAGAGTCCCTTTTGCTTTCTCTCCTTTTGGCTAATATTCCATGAACTTGAGCTGCTTTACAGCATGAAAGAGATGAGGGTGTGGAAGGCACGATTCACTCAAGTTTCCTTATTTTATCTGAAGTCTTTGCATCAGGGGCATACAAGTCACCATGGAGAGCATGAAGTAGACTGTTTCCTCTGCTTGACGCTCGGGTTTGCTTTGAGTGACAAGCAGCGACAGCATGCAGACACACGGCCTAGCCGGCTGTGACGCAGAAGTGGTGGTGTGCCAGTGGCAAGCACCCCTATGGGCTGTACCAGGGTCCTGGTGGCTGGAGAACGGCTCTTGGTACTCAACGTGACGGGTTCAGCAAGGCCAGAAATGCTGCAAGGTGGATCCGTGCAGTGAAATGTTAAGGGACGATGCTGGCTTGAAGTACTTCAGCCATGGCTGAGCATCTGGCTCTTAAAGAGTTGAACCTTCCCCCTTCAGGATGATATTAACTGGCATTTGTCCACAGAAATGGCTTAACTCTCTTTTGCCCTCAACGTGCAGGTTGCTGATACTCGCTGTGCTTCTCCTGACAGGCTGCTGATACCCTTGCTGTGAGGCAGAAGAGAAGGATCTACGATATCACCAACGTTTTGGAGGGGATTGATCTCATTGAGAAGAAGTCAAAGAACAGCATTCAGTGGAAGTAAGCTGTGTCAATTCTGCAAATTTTTGCATGCTTGAGAGGAACAAAAATTGCCTCTTTCCACTTCTCCTGACTAGATAGGACATCATAAAATTAATGTTATACTCATCAATGAGCAATATGACATTTTAGAATGACAGTAAAGTTGCATATTAAATTTATTTGTCTTCCCCTTTAACTTGTATGTTTGATACATAAAATCAAGTTTAAAGCATGTAGCGGAAAAACTTTCATTAAACTTACAGTGTTACTTTTTAACAAGCACTTGTAGTTGAAATATTTACTCTAGAGGAGTCTGAGAAGGGTATTGGGACACACTGTCTCCACCTACCTACCCTCCTGTAGTCAATGTCTATTCTCTTGGTTCGCTGATGGTGAAAGGAGAAGGGTCCTGCAAACCAGCTCCAATGCAGAAAAAGCTACATTCCAAAAGAAAATAGGTAAAGGGGAATTTCAAATTTGATTAAAAGTTAAGAATTTTCATTTTTCTGTTAAATCCCTGCTGGAAGGGTAAACACTCATTTCCTTCATATTGAATATTAGTAGATTTTCAAAATGTTGAAAGTAGTCTTAAGAAATTATCTTTGTGTGCTTCAGCTTTTCACTTGTGGTTTTGTGATTTCTTATGCCTTTTTAAGAGGAGTAGGTGCTGGCTGCAATACAAAAGAAGTCATAGACAGGCTGAGGTATCTGGAAGCTGAAATTGAAGATCTAGAGCTAAAAGAAAAAGAATTGGATCAGCAGAAACTGTGGCTTCAGCAAAGTATCAAGAATGTCATGGATGATTCTACAAACCACCAATATCCTTTTAAATTAATTGTGTGCATCTTGCAGCTAAAATTAAAGCAACAGTTTAAGTGTAGGTAATAGGTAAAGCATAACGTAGCCCCTTTCATCCAGAAGCAAGGAAAGGCTAATATTTTTTCTGGTTTTTGTTCAAGAAGAAAGAAAATCATGTTTACATGACTTTTTAACCTCTGTTACTGTATGACTGGTAACCTTAAAATAATTTAGCACATATATATGTGTGTGTGTATATGTATATATATATGGCAGTATTTTTTTAAGTCCATGGTATAATCCTGGTGTCTTATTTTAAATGAACTGCATTGCTTTCTAGCACTTGAATTTATACTTTCTTAGCAGTGCTTTACATGTGTGTTGCTTCCTTCTCTTGAAAAGACTAAGCTATCACCCAAAGATAAATTGAGTTGGCAAAGTTCTGAAGCCTGTTGGGTTTGGAACTGGAAAAATACCCTGTGTGTAAATACCGCGTGAGCAGAGAATTCCTGATACATTACTTGTAACCATGTGTTTAGCTGTCTTGCAAGATACTGAGCAAAATAGACATCCAAGGTTTGGAGCAGAAAAGTGCCCTTCTTATCTTGTAGTACTAGTGATAAGTACTTGAAAATTTCTTGCAGTTGCTCTACAGACAGAAACTGCTGCTGTAAAATGGATTTTATAGAAAGGAGATTGATGTTATATGTTAGGAGAAACTTTCCTTTGGGAGAGCTAGCACTGGAATTGACCTCCCAGATCGGTGTCGGAATATCCATCACTGGAGGTTTTCCAGAAGAGGGGAGACAAATGTCTATCTGGAATGCCTTAACAGTTGATCCTGTCTTGAGGCAGGGGAATGGGATGGCAGATGCACTGTCAAGTCCCCTTTGGCAGTATTTTTGTGTGATTCAGGGAAGTCCCAATACGTACTTGAATTCTGTAGTGTCAAGTTCGTGAGGTAGATGGCATTCTTCAAAACAAGATTTTACATGTTCCCTTTTTTGTAGAATAATCTCTTCTCATTCAAGCTATGCAACTTTTTCCTTTTTGTATTTTCTTCACAGATACAGGTTTGGTTTTTTCTTTAAAATATAGAACGCTGCTATCTTTAACTAGCTGTTCTGAAAACAAAAAATCATGCCTTGATTGCACCTCTGAGTAACAGCAAGAAGTTTATAGTTTAGGCTGAGTTTGAACAGACTTCTTTTAAAGGGGAACAAATACTAGTTTCACATTGCTTTAAGAAAAATGTTCCTTAACATAAGTTACATTTTCATATGTCACACATGAAGATATCTGCAACTGCTTCAATGGTAAGTTGCTGCTAGGCTGTATTTTGTAAAGTGAGGGATTTTCTGATCTTCCTCTTGAAAGCAGGTTACTTAGCAAGTTAGTTTTCTCCGCTTAAGTATTTTGATTTAGAAGTATTCAATGGTGACGAGTAGTAAGCAGAAGTCTCATCATGTTTCTGACCAGCAAGTTCTGGCATTTTCTAGCTGCTGTCACAGCGCATACAGAATGGAACCTCAGCTGGTTTTGGTGTACTGTTTTTGGATGTCTCTGTATTCATACTTTGCAGCAGCTTGCCTCGGGCTGTTAATGGAACCAGGGACAGGGCATGTTGGTCCAACTCACCAGAAAGACCAAGCACATCCAAATTTCCTAAAATTTTCTGATGGCAGCTGCAGCCAGAAGGGGCTCCTGATGATGCTATATAAATGAAGCCAGATGAACTGCAATGATGGGGCATTGCCACTAAATCAGAAGGGTTCCTTCTGTACAGGAGATTTGAAGAAATTGCCGAGAATTGCTGGCAGAAATTACTTCCCTTAGCATCCTGTCATGATCCTGGGGCACCCAAGGGAAGATTGTTGTTCAGCCTCCAGCTAGGCTCTTCTTTGCCAATAGGAAGGTTGGGTTTGTTTTTTTGAATATAAATGCAAGATTAGACAACCACTGGGGAGTTTAAAAAAAACGAGCTGCTACTAAAAAAATTAAGTGATCACAAATGTAGAGGCACCTACTCTGCCAGTCACATAGTGCTTCATGTGAGTATCTTTTAGGAGGCAGAGAAAGAAAAGCATTATTCCAAGTTATGGACAAAGTGGAGATGATGTGCAGGTGGGTGAATGACCTGCAGTGCCAGGCAGGTTGTGCCAGTGCTGTTGATGTAATTGTGATCTTCTGACTTGAACCAATACAATTTAGCACACACAGTAAGCCACAGGTGAGTTTGCTGCCCAGCTGTTACATTCCAGTTGTATGTGCTGCAGAACCTGCAAGCTTAGACACTGGGAAGTGCTGGCACTGAAGATGATCACTAAGACCTTTTCTTCCTTCTCTTAAATCTCTCTCTACTACCACCATTCTTCAAATCCAGAAAGTGAGCTGGACCAGAGAGCTGTTTTAGCTGAAAAAGAAACTGGTTAAATATTTTCATCTCACGTTACATATACAACCAGGAGATCTGGGGACAGTAACAACCAGGTAAAGGAGGTAGTAAACCTTGTACTGCTATGAGAAAAGGTTCTTGCAACTACGGTCTAAGTATTGGAATTCTGTCATTTATACTATAGGATATACTTGGATCTTACAGGGACTATGCAAGTCCCACTGCAAGTATATTTATGCTACAATTATGCAGTATTTTAAATGACCATAGAGTATTACGATATCTCATTTTAATGGGTACCATGCAAAACTTAAGAAAAGTATGCACACTTAACACTTTCTTAAAAATTGTTGTTTAACCAGGAGACACACTTCTAGCAATTCAAGCACCTTGTGGCACACAGTTAGAAGTGCCTATACCTGAAATGGTATGTACTGGTTTCTTGTTTACCTAGGTCTTCTAGAGGGACAGCGGAAAAGAAGAGCTACATTAGAGCAGAGGGTTTATCTCTATCTGGGTGCAAGAAAGGGGAGCTGAAATTAAAATTAAGATGGTTTCATTTGAGAAGGGAGAGGCTGGGTGGGAAAAAGTGGTTTTTGTACATCTAGATAGTGTAATGGTAACTCTGTCTTCGATTAAAAACAAGATATAATACTGGGTTTCTTTGTCCTCACTTCTTCTCTCTTGCTTTTAAATGTTGCAGCTTTCTAAATTAGGCATAATTGTAATGAATTCCCTTGAGAACTTACTAGCAATTACTTTTATCTGTCAAATTTCTCTGTTGTATTACAGAATCACAGAATATTAGGAGTTGGAAGGGACCTCAAAAGATCATCCAGTCCAACCCCCCTGACAGAGCAGGATCACCTAGACTAGGTCACACAGGAACGCGTCCAGGCGGGTTTTGAATGTCTCCAGAGAAGGAGACTCCACAACCTCTCTGGGCAGCCTGTGCCAGTGCTCTGTCACCCTCACAGTGAAAAAGGTTTTCCTTATGAACCTCCTATGCTCCAGCTTGCGCCCATTTCCTCTTGTCCTGTCATTGGCTATCACTGAGAAAAGCCTGGCACCTTCCTCCTGACACTCGCCCTTTACAAATTTATAAACATTAATGAGGTCTCCCCTCAGCCTCCTTTTCTGCAAGCTAAAGAGACCCAGCTCCCTCAGCCGTTCCTCATAAGGGAGATGCTCCACTCCCTCAATCCTCCCTCAAAGTATTGTTAAAACAGATCTCTTACAAAAAAGCCTTTTAGATTTAGTTGTAGGTTTAGTTTAGATTTAGTTTCTGTTTAGTCTCATGGTACTAGCCTGGACAGAGAAACACACTGCAGTCTCACTTTAGCTAAAAGGCTTAAATGGGCAAGATAAAGGTAGGAGGCCAAATTACTTACCTCTGTCCATCTTTTATTTTTTTGCCGCAGTGCTCGGTTTTAAGTAGGGTTTACATAGTTGCAAGAGAGCATTGTGTGAAGCCTGCTGCTATCCTTGTAGAAGGCTGAAATTCACCTGAGAAGTTGCTCAAGCTATTTTTAGTGAGGCTAAGCACAGTCTAATATTTTAAGAGCATCCAAAGCTAGAACCATGGCACTGATCAGTAGTGCAATCTTTGTCCATCTCTGCTGAAACCAGTTAAGGCAATTGTAAGGTTCTCTCTGGTACCGAAGTTAGCAGCTGTAATGTTGGTGTGCGAGGAGGTTTTCGCTTTTTGTTGAAGATTAAAACAGCTGATCTTAGTCTTCATCACCAAGTTCAAATTGGATGTTTTTGCTTTGGTTCCCCTTCTCTGAGGCTCTTTTCCCAGTTTTCTCATCCTCATTTTTTCTAGAACATGCTTGCTGAAAACCTGTTTGCTGAATTAGCTACTTTGGAGACAGGAGTCTCACTGAGACTGTGCTAGAGACTGAGAGTAGCTTCAGTCCTAGCTGTACTGCTTAAGTGACTTACCAAAAGGCAGCCTGGCAAATCGGATCAGAAATGGTTTCTACTGATTCATGATTCTGTGCTCACTCAGTCTGGGTGAGATCTCCAACTGTTTTAGGATGCTTAGTCTCAGCCAGAATCATTCTGCAGCTCCATTTAAAAGGAAAAAATACAAATGTACAAGAATCATTATTTATCATTGGTGTTATTGGTAAGATGTAGCCCTGCTGTAAGTGTTATGTAACTTGAATTCAAGATTTAGTTAAGCACTTTGAAGAATTGTGTATTTGTGATCTCTGTAACTGTGTTCTGGTCAGGTGAACACATTACAGGTTTGTAATTGAGTTTGGGTTTTGTTTTGGGTTTTTTTTATAGATCGCATGCATTAAATATTTTTTTACTGGGTATGATTTGATAAGCTTGTGCTAACTACCAGCTCTTCCTAGTTACCTAACTAGAAGAGCACTGTATTTATCTTCTGGGAGGTAAAAAGTGCATCAGTTTGAGAATTCTGTTCAAACATCTTCATTACTTACTGTGGGAAATTATGCAATTACTGTTATGTTTTGTAAAGTTCCAACTTCTCAAGGAATGGTAACTTTCATAATATACCACCTTTTCAGGGACAGAATGGACAGAAGAAATATCAGATCAATCTTAAAAGTAGTTCAGGACCTATCCATGTGCTGCTTATAAATAAAGAGTCAAGCTCCTCCAAGCCCATGGTGTTTCCAGTTCCTCCACCCGATGACCTTGCACAGCCCCCATCACAACCTGCAGCTCCGGCGACTCCACTTAAACCTGCTACAGCTCCTCAAAATCCGCCAGAACACCACGATCTGAACCAAGGACAAGAGTTACCACAAACATCAGTTGCAGACACGCCATCAGGTGGGCCCAGGGTTTTGCCTACCTCAGATGGGTTGGGGAGAAAGGGAACTGGAGGGAAAGAAGCTGCTAGAAAAGGTGGTTGATAAAGATCGAGAATTTGCATAGTGTAACTCCTGTTAAGGAACTACCTCAAGGGCTCACTAACAGCTCTCGGAAGGTTACAGAGAAGCCTCTTCCTCTTCTGTCTGGTGAAACAGATATCTTTCCTTGTAGCTGATCATCTTATACCAAACAGGTTTTGGATGTGATCCTGTTAATAATTCTGAGGTGCTTCTCCAGAATACAATATGGAACGAAAATTGCCAAGCTCTGAAGGAGTGTATGATTTGAACATGTACCTTATAATGAGACAGATAATACAGGCACCAGTTCCAGCTTTTGTGCCACAAGGTCACTTACCTTCTTCCACATAGCCACAGTGAGAGACTGCCTGAATATCAGGTATTTTTCCCATAATAATAGTAGGGTAATATGAAAAGACTTAAGAAAATGCTGTCAGTGTTACTATTTCCGAGGGGTCCTGATTACTTTGTGCCTGTGGCTTTGGAAAGGGGAGACTCCTCTCACATTGGCCATGTTCTCCTCAAGAGACAAAGCCGGGTGCAGGTGTTTCATTTTCCCTTTTCCGACTTTATATCGTGCCTTTCTGTCTTTGTAGACAGCAGAGTGCAGCAGAACAGCACAACCCCAGCAGCTCCTTACTCCAGCCTCCCAGAGTCGGTGTTGTACCCCGGCCTTTCGGGAGATGTCGCCCAAGCTACAGCTAGCTCAAACGACTACCAGGGCTTGCTGCCTCTGGATGTTAACTGTATTCTCAAGCCAAACTCATTCGACATTGCAAAGATGGAGGAGCCCGCAGGTAGGAAGAAGCAGTTACTTTTTAAATGTTTTTATTTGTTTCATGAACCATTCTTTGTGGCCAAGCTACTATTATGAGTTACACAGCGGGAAAGATGAGTACTTTTCCCACAGAGGAAATGTCAGGCCTTTCTTCATCTCCTAATGAAGCCACTCAGCCAGCTCTGAGTAACAAACTCATTTTGAGCAAAACACCTTTCTCTGCCACCGATAAGCTTCAAATTGTACATGGCTCTAGGATGGTAAGGGATCAGTGAGAGAAATGTAACAGGAAAAACAGGGATACAAAGATGCATGTGTTTTACATGCACATGGCATGCTATCTCTGCAGCTCCTACACTGCACGAGCCATACTGTACTTTGCAATTCAGTGTTTTAATGCAGAGAATATGCATGGACTTCCATAAACACATGCTCCTGTCTTTCACAGGAAATATCAGTGGGGATATTATTGATGAACTCATGTCTTCTGACGGTGAGTATTTAGCATCTTTACTTTTCTAATAATCACAAGTAGCAGCATGGGTTTTGCGTGAACAGCACTTGATAGGTGTCTGTTAAATCTGATGCCAAGAGTCAATATGAAACTACTTCTGTCCCCTGTACTACCTGCTCTGTCTTTGTAATTCTTGTCTTTCCTCCCCTTTCCATTCCCTGCAACATTGTTATTTAACAAAATATGAAAGCCTTACTCGAGCAAGCACTTACATGCATGAGTAACCTACCAGTCCTTTATTCAGGAACAAAGAACAGGCTGATGACTAGAGTGCTGCCTTAAAAAAATAAATAAATCTGGTTTAATTCTGTTCTGCCTCAGGCTTCCTGCAGGAGCTTTGAGTAAACATTTCAGAACATAATTATATGCCTGCATGCAGACTGATACACAGCCAGCTGTGATACACTAACAGAACCGACAAATGTCACCTGTTTCTCCTCTTGCACCCTGGTGGCCATATCAGTGCAGAACTGAACCACAGCCAGAAAGTTCACGTGCTCCCTGTGTCTGCTGTCTCTCACTGAGGTGCCAGGCAAAGAGG